ATATTAGAATTGACTTCCACATAAGCAAGGATATATCATTCAATACCAAAATCACGATATTGATCCAGTGGTTTAAATGATGTGGTAAAATACTGATTCCTCGGCTAGAAATGGTGGCCAATGGTCGGTTGGATTTGGAAAATTCAATTGGCTAACGTCCTTTTTTTAAATAAATGGCCACAGAAGAATGGACGTGGACATTTTGGCGCTTGTATCCACTTTTGAAAGATTATTCCAGCGATGTGCAGCACTAACAAGACGCTAAAATAAAACCTTTAATGACGATGTAGCTTTCCTTTCTGTCCTCAACGACTGGCATTGCAGTGTTTTGTGTTCTCTCTCTTGGATAACGTTTGAATTAAAGTGTCTCCTGTGTTGCAGTGTTTGCCGCCCTGTCCGGTCTGGTGCTGGTTCCTCTGGTTCTGCTGGGCTCGGTCCACGGTTGCCCCGGTGTTTGCTCCTGTTACGGTAACACCACCGACTGCTCCTCTGCCGGCCTCCTGTCTCTGACCTCCGTCCTGGTGCTGTTGGACCGGGACTCTCTGATCCTCCGCCTCCCCCAGAACAACCTCTCCTCCCTGGGCTCCACTGAGCTGATGAACCTCAGCCGCCTGGAGCTCCTGGACCTCTCCCAGAATCACTTTTCCGCCCTACAGCCCGGAGCGTTTCGACATTAACGGCCTGCGATTCCTCAATCTTTCTTCCAACTACCTCGGTAATCGTGTTTTTTCTGTCCCGAACAACACCACGGATGTCCTAGAGGGTTTTGAATGGGAGTCAAGGGAGCGCCGGATTGAGCAAGGACGCGTTTAGAGGGCTTTTGGAGGCTACGAGGACTCGATTTGTCCTCCAATGGCCTCCTGTGGCTGCCCAAAGGTCTCCTGGACGGGCTGCAGAGACTCGACTGGCTCTCCTTGGCCAGTAATCGTCTGGCGGCTCTGGATCGGGTCACTTTCGAACCCCTGGTGGGGCTTCAGGAGCTCCGACTGGCAGGAACCCTTGGGAATGCGACTGCAAACTGAGAGAGTTCAAGCACTGGATAGAGTGGCTGATTTACAGGGGTGAGCACACTTCAGATTCTCTGGTTTAAAAGTCTGCTTTAAGGCAGAGCCAGGCCAATCACTTTGTATTTTAAGTCTGTACTTCAAACGCAGCCTAATCAAAGCAATTAATCTCTGCACTGTATTTAATTTTAGGATTGACTGGTGCTCAAAAGAGTGCTTCAGTCTTATGTCCTGAACAGCAAATATTCCACTGTTTAATAAAGTAAGACAATGTTGTTGGCCAGCCTCACTCTGCTGTTGCCGGTTCATAGAGTTTCTCACAGGTTTCTTTGTGTGTTTCCCCCCTCTCCCCTCTCCTGTACAGACGGACAGGTGGACGCGATGCAGTGCAGCCTCCCGGGGGATTTGAAGGGTCGAGATATCCGCAGCGTCCCGGCAGAGATGTTCACTTCACTGTCTCCAGATAACCTCCAACAACAAAGAAGACTCCAGGATACGCCAGCAGACCTCCGTGTCCACTGGGTCGAATCAACACCAACGAGGAATGCGTCCGCCAACGATATCGACCCGTCAGCGTCCGACGCGCCCACGGCACGCAGATCGTCGCAGGGCGTGATTTGCGGCACGGGGTGCGTCATGATGGTGGTGGCGTGCGACTTGACGGATGTGTGTTACGCCTCGCTGATGGCACGATACCAGAGAGAGATGAAGAGCCTGAGGGCAGCCTCTGATGGCCGAGTGCGGCACCGACACAGGACCTGGAGGACGGACAGATGGGTTCTCCGGAGGACATGCCGCCCAAAGAGGCCATCGTGCACGGGTATCGGATCAGCAGCTTCTGACACGTCTGATTTTGTATTCTTCCAGGACACTCAGCGACTTCTGATGGCGGAACTGACTGGAAACATCAGGCTAAGATTCTACTTCACTAAGTAGGGCAGAAGCTAAAAGATTCCACTGTGTAAAAACCCAGTAAAACATACAGCTTTCCCTAATTTCAGTTGCCATAACATAGCAATTGTGCACCTTTTACTGTTGTCTTGACCATTCTAACACCAATAAATCAGACTGGCTATTATACTGGCGGATGTCGTCTCCGGGGGACACGCCACCTAAAGAGGTCATCGTGCACATTATCGAATCAGAAGCTTCCAACCCGCTGCTTTTGGTCTGATTTCCTGATTCTTCCAGGACACTCAAAGACGTCTGGAGACAGAAACCCTGCAGATCGGATGACTGAACTTATCCCTAAGGGAGACGCCAGCCATCCTCCGGAGGAAACCCATTTCAGCCTCTTGTATTCCCGGTCTTTGTCTTCAATAAGCAGGTAGAAGCTAAAGATGACACTGTGTAAAAACCCAGTAAAGCTTTGCCATTTTTGCCGAACTTACGACATACTCCTTTAGTCTCCGCGCTGCAGCTTTTAAACTCCTCTGAAGCTGCTGAAGCACTTCTGCACCTTGACTTCCCTTCATATCGTTTCTCCTTTAGTTACCATAGCAACGCATTTTTACTGTTGTCTTTACCATTCTAACAACAATAAATAACCAAGGCTATTATAGAGGCAGTGTACGAACCGATTGCTCGGACCTGGAGGACGGGCAGATGTCTTCCCCAAAGGACACGCCCCCAAAGAGGCCATCGCGCACGGGTATCGGATCAGCAGCTTCTGATCCGCTGCTTTTGTCTGATTCCTGATTCCTCCAGGAGGCGTCTATCGTTGTGCCAACCCAGTTTGGATTTAACCACGCCCACTTCCACGTGACCAAAGCATCAGAGCGTCAATCTAGGAGTTCCATCCCACTAAACATGAATCTGGCACTCTTCATAGAGCATATTCTTCAAAGTAAATGGAAATAGTGCTTTTTAATATGAAAGAAGATCACAGTTAGGCAGAGCTGAGTAAATGTTAATGATCTGTTTAATATTAATTCACCATGGATTTAAAACTAATAAACTAGAAACCAATGTGTAGCTTATAATAGCTTGTGTTTTGGTTTGTCAAGCTTTGTACTGAACCATGTATTTGAGTAAATGTACTTTGTGACTCTCCTACACTGTCAGAGGATTTAGTCCCCATCCGAGTAGATGTGATATAACTTTCAGCGTTGTTAATATGGGCACCTTCTCTTTATACATCCATGACGCAGTCACGAAGAGCTGCCTGAATGCAGGACTGGGAGTGGTTGAATCTATACTGGGTTGGAGGACACTCTGTCTGGAGGGGGAACCCTGCAGCTCTGAGAGAGAGAGGCTAATGGAGTGGACTGTATTGAGAGAATGCCGCAGCACTTCCTTTAATGTATGGATGCTCTGTGAATTGTTATTCCCCGCGCTGCATCTCCGCGCTGCAGCTTTTAAACTCCTCTGAAGCTGCTCATGCACTTCTGCACCTTGACCTCCCTTAGTCCTTTAGACACATACAAAACCTCCTTTTTGTTTTGAGCCAAAGAAATGTGAATGTGAAATGTGACTTTTCTCCTGTTTTTTTGCACAAATTCTCTTGTTTTCTTCTGTTACTTAATGTGATATGTTACATCCCCACTTTGGGAAATAGTCATTCCTCTGTTAGGAGGATGCCCAGTTGAACTCCCTCTAGATATCAGACACTTTAACCATGTTAGAGGCCTGCTGTTTCAACACCACTGAGGTCAAATGCATTCAAACAACATGTGAGCCGTACTGCCCCCTACAGGGCGACCGTTGAGCTGCAACACCTTCAATCCAGCACAAGTTATGAGGACAGTTATTCCCAACATAGCAGAGTGAAAGTGTGATCCACCTTGACTGCAATCTCCAGATGTTTTCATGCATTTTGTCCCTTTTTCTTTCTGTGATAAGCACATGTCTCAAACTCAACTCAAGGACTGTAAATCAGGCGGAAGATAATAAACTCTATATTTATCTAATTATCCTGGACTTCTTTCTTATTTTTTTTTTTTAATAACACCACAATATGACTGCCACCAAAACACCAGCTGGGAAACAACATTCATCAAACCGTTTAAAAAGAAGTCGTACTCACCAGACAAAATAAAGGACTCAACATTGCCATATTCTAAGATAAGAGCTGCATCTTATGGTTATTCATTTCGGTCTATAAATGCTCAGAAAATAGAGAAAATCTATCCATCCATCTGCCTGAATCCAAGGTGATGTCTTTAAATGTGAGTGAAATGAGCTCAAAACTCAAAGATATTACATTTAATATGATATAAAACACAGGACATTTCTATATTTGAGAGGCTGAAAACTGCATTTTCTGACACTTTACTTTTTACAATGAATCAAGTGCTGACATAGAAGTCTATTATGTTTCTGTTGATTGACTTATCTTTGCAGCTCCATCTGAGATTAAGAGAAACAGCCTGATCATTTCAACAAAATCCTGTCATGAAAATGTGTTTACAGACATCAGCCATCATTTGGTTTAGAGAGCGCCTATTATGCTTTCCCCTTCCTGTGTGTTCTATATGTGTTAGTGCATGTAAATGGTCTGCAAAGGCTAAACTCCCTATGTTCTTCTCATGTCCTTAAAACCCCTTAATGACCTGCCAGACTCCAACATCACAGAAGCTGCACAATGAGGGATGAGCACACACTGTGGGTCCATCAACTATGAATACAAACGATGTGGAGGAAAGACTTCAGCTGCTGCAGGTTTAGTAACTGGATTACAAAACTGCTGTTGTGTCTTTCAGTGAAGCTTTATAATAACCTAAATGCAACCTGTTCCCAGGCTGCTCTTGCTAAGGACACTGGGTTTTGATTTCTAGCTTTCTAGTTTACGCACAACCAAAAATAATAAAAGAACTTCAAGAAACTTAGAAAGATTACAACATATTTGACCCCCTGATCTTAAACACAGGACACAATGCAGATCCGATTTAAGAGTGATGTCCTCTCACTTGCCTCTCAGGGCTTCTGTGTTTCCATGACGTCCCACTAGCAAGATACAAATCACAGCTTTAAAATAATGATCAAAGAGAGACTTACCTCCAGCTATGGCCGTCTTCCCTTCAGAGGAAACGGTCGCTGACGTCACCGCGATCACGTACTTCACTCCTGTAGAGAAACACCGATTGAGTCTCAGCTAGTAATGATGAGTTCTGCTGATACTGCAGTAAATATATAATGAGCAGAGGTGGGAAGTAACTAAGTACATTTGATCAAGTACTGTACTTTAGATACTTCTTCTCTAAAAAGTGTAACTAGTGGACTAACTCTTTATGACAGAAAAGAAGAGTGGTGGGAGAAATATTCAGGTCTGGTACTTGAGTAAAAGTAGAAGTACTCAGATCTTGTACTTGAGTAAAAGGAGAAGTACTCAGATATTGTTCTTGAGTAAAAGTAGAAGTACTCAGATATTGTACTTGAGTAAAAGTAGAAGTACTCAGATCTTGTACTTGAGTAAAAGGAGAAGTACTCAGATCTTGTACTTGAGTAAAAGGAGAAGTACTCAGATATGGTACTTGAGTAAAAGTAGAAGTATTCAGATCTTGTACTTGAGTAAAAGTAGAAGTACTCAGATATTGTACTTGAGTAAAAGTAGAAGTACTCAGATATTGTTCTTGAGTAAAAGTAGAAGTACTCAGATATTGTACTTGAGTAAAAGTAGAAGTATTCAGATCTTGTACTTGAGTAAAAGTAGAAGTACTCAGATCTTGTACTTGAGTAAAAGTAGAAGTACTCAGATCTTGTACTTGAGTAAAAGTAGAAGCACTCAGATCTTGTACTTGAGTAGAAGTACTCAAAACTTGTACTTAAGTAAAAGTACAAGTACTCAGATCTTGTACTTGAATAAAAGTACCAGAGTGTAGGAATACTCTGTTACAGTAAAAGTCCTGCATTCAAAATGTTACTCAAATAAAAGTAGAAAAGTATTATCATCAAAATATAGTAAGTAACAACAGTAGTCATTGTGGCAGATTGGTCCATTTCATTTTGACAGTAATGTATTGGTACTATCACTGAAGTAAAGTATCTGAATACTTCTTCCACTGCTGATTATGAGATGGTGAACCTTTGTCGTTGACTGGGTAATAGTAGAAGCTTCCGGGAGTGTTTTCCACGGCGAGCCGGTACCACAGCGGGAAGTGATCCATGGTGAACAGGTTGGCTTTATCCGCTGCCGTCAGAAACTTCCTGTCAGGGGGAGGTCAGAAAACATACTTTAAGACACAATTAATAGTCCTGGTCTGGTACGTGACAGAAGGATACAAGCATGTGGTGTGTCTAAGTAAATAAGTAGCTCCAGACTGAATTTAAATGAACTTCCCTGCAAGTCTGTAAAGAGTGGTGCAGGAATGAGTCCTAAAACCAAGATCACACCCAACATTAGCCGCCTTTAGCTTAGCGGTGGTGACGTGAAGTCATGTGACCGTGCTGTAGTTCCTTTATAGCCCAACATTAGCCTCCTTTAGCTTAGCGGTGGTGACTTGAAGTCATGTGACCGTGCTGTAGTTCCTTTATAGCCCAACATTAGCCACCTTTAGCTTAGCGGTGGTGACGTGAAGTCGTGTGACCGTGCTGTAGTTCCTTTATAGCCCAACATTAGCCACCTTTAGCTTAGCGGTGGTGACGTGAAGTCATGTGACCGTGCTGTAGTTCCTTTATAGCCCAACATTAGCCACCTTTAGCTTAGCGGTGGTGACGTGAAGTCATGTGACCGTGCTGTAGTTCCTTTATAGCCCAACATTAGCCGCCTTTAGCTTAGCGGTGGTGATGTGAAGTCATGTGACTGTGCTGTAGTTCCTTTATAGCCCAACATTAGCCACCTTTAGCTTAGCGGTGGTGACGTGAAGTCATGTGACCGTGCTGTAGTTCCTTATAGCCCAACATTAGCCACCTTTAGCTTAGCGGTGGTGACGTGAAGTCATGTGACCGTGCTGTAGTTCCTTTATAGCCCAACATTAGCCACCTTTAGCTTAGCGGTGGTGACGTGAAGTCATGTGACCGTGCTGTAGTTCCTTTATAGCCCAACATTAGCCGCCTTTAGCTTAGCGGTGGTGACGTGAAGTCATGTGACCGTGCTGTAGTTCCTTTATAGCCCAACATTAGCCGCCTTTAGCTTAGCGGTGGTGATGTGAAGTCATGTGACTGTGCTGTAGTTCCTTTGTAGCCCAACATTAGCTTTTTACTTCAGAAATCATAAAGTGGTGTTAATATGTGGAGATTATTCTGCTGAACTAAACTTTGGACCAGGGAGATGCTGCCTTCAGGGTCCAAAACCGAAAACTCTGAGAGAAAGTTAAATGGTACCCTACACCACAGTAAATGTCAGATATATTTTCTAACGGGTCTTACTTTGCCACCCTGCTCTCCACTCCGGCGTATCTTGTGAGCCTCAAAAGGCCGGAGCGAGTCCCGAGGAACGCCGTCTCCACGCCCGGCTCCACCCTGAAGATCACAGAGTTAAAAGGGGGAGTGAGGTCAGTTACTCTTTAAAACAGCTGCTAGTTATGGGTACTTTTTACTTGAATACATTTCGAAGCCCATACTTCTTTACTTTTACTTGAGTAAATAACTTTAGTCAGTACTTCTACTTTTACCAGAGTATTTTTAAACACGAGTATCTGTACTTCTACTTGAGTAAGGATCTGTGTACTTTTGCCCTCTCTGTTAATAATATAAGGTCTCACTTGTCGTTGAGCATCAGAGCGTTCCAGTACGCCTCCATCGGCGCCGTCACCACCGCGTCGAACAGAACGTGCTGCAGCAACACCTCGTCACCTGCTCACAGGTAATATAACATCAATATGATAAACATTTAACTCATGGGATGGAGAGAAATGTACTGAGAGTTTCGTACACTCCATATCCGGCTCCAGCCCCAGAAGGTACCGGATGGCGGCCTGAAGCTGAGAGAACTTCATGTAGCTCGGGTCGATGTCCGTCACACAGTACATCCTGAGAGGAGAGGAAATATTAAATATATTAAAGGTCCCCTATTATACTGTTTCTCATCAATATATCACAGGTCTCAGATATATACAGAGCCTGTCTCTGATTGGCTGAAACACCAAACAGATCATTGCAGCATTACCCATAATCCCCTCTGTTTCAGCCCTGTTTCCAAAGTGCTGATTCTCTGTCTGTTACTTTAGATGAAAATAAGGAGCCCCTCCCCACGCCCCTCTGAGAGAGATTTGGTTAAAAATAACTCAATGGTGCTCTAGGAGGAGATTCAGGTGATAAGGATCTATAATAAAAATAATGCATTTACTAACTTTTTTTAAGTTTATAATTTCTATAATAAATTGTAGATTATTTAGATAGGATAATTCCTGAAATTATTAATGGATTATTTGGATATTTTAAGTAACAAATAAAAAAGGAAAATATTTGTCGACTACATTTGTTTTGTGCTTAATTTGTTAAAACATCATTTTTATGCAGCGGAACATTTTTGAAAGCTATATATATATATATAAAGTTATATGGGTCGAATAAGTTAGGTAAGGGATAATGTGCAGCGAGGCGGTCATTATGGGTAAAAGAACACCCGACAGGCTGATCAGGAGCCCGGCGCGAAGCGGAGGGATCTTGATCAGCATGAAGGGTGTTCTTCATAATGACCGCCTCGTAGTTTGAACTAACGTAGCAACGGCAGGAACTGCTTCGATAGCGTTTTTGCGGACCTTTTTGATTACAGATTTGAAAACATCGTTGCTTGCTTTAAAAGTAGCACAATTCATTATGTCAAACCTTGGGAAGTATCTAGATATCCCTGCCCTAATGCCAAAGTAACTGCACACTGAATATGTTTTGCCGTTTGATGTCTATGTGTCTATGAGTGGGGATGAAGTATTAATTGGTACTATCTCATTTAAGTCAAATTTGGTTGCCAATTGATTTCTTGGTGTCATGAAATCTTGTAATAATGTAATGTAATTCTACCCTCACTCATCCTGTTAAAAAAATAAAATTATACAAAAGTTAAAATAATGCATTTATAGATTCTAGAATCAATTGTAGATGATATTATTATTATTATTCATTTTGTATTTATTTTGATTTTTTTAATAATGCATTTCCGAATAATTAAATAACCTCCTGTATTAATTATGAGTTTCAGACGTACCACTCGGAGGCGATGCTGAGGTCGGGGGAAGTCAGGTCGTGCAGTCCTGCAGAGAAAAACACAAACAATACGTCAGTTATATTTTAATATTGACTTCCTTCAACAGAGGACATGTGATGTACATCCTCTGAGTCTGTGCAGGAAGTTCTTTTTTAAACGCATGAAAGTAAAAGTCATGAATTTCACCCGGTTTCTACACATAGATTCAAAGGTTTAAACTTTATTGTCAAACATGTTTCCAACATGAGGTTGTTGTGTGTGTACACACTGTAAGACTGAGACTATTAATGTGTGTGTGTGATATTGGGCTATATAAGATAAGATAAGAAGTACTTTATTGATCCCAATGTGGGAAATGTTAGTGTTGCAGCAGCATAAAAAGACAAGGCATTGCACAATAACAATTAAAAAGACTAGAAATAAACAAGAAAGTAGAAAATATACATGTTTATACTATATAACCAATATTTGATTGTCATTCACAAAAACTACAGCGTTGTTATTTGCCATTAAATAAGCTTTAGTCCCAGGCTACAAATGGGTAAAATAGTGTGTGTGTGTGTGTGTGTGTGTGTGTGTGTGTGTGTGTGTGTGTGTGTGTGTGTGTGTGTGTGTGTTCCTACCTTCCTCCACAGACACATTTCCAAAATACATCAGCTTCCCGTTACCTCTCGTCAGCACCATGGAGAAACTGCAGAGACACAAAGAAACGTCTAGATTTTAATTGTGAGAGAATGACGCCCTCTAGTGGCAAAATTACACAGGTACAAGTGAGTGTATGTACACAGATCTTGTACTCGAGTAAAAGTAGAAGTACTCAGATCTTGTACTCGAGTAAAAGTAGAAGTACTCAGATCTGGTACTCGAGTAAAAGTAGAAGTACTCAGATCTTGTACTTGAGTAAAAGTAGAAGTACTCAGATCTTGTACTTGAGTAAAAGTAGAAGTGTTCCAATCTTGTTCCTTGTACTCGAGTAAAAGTAGAAGTACTCAGATATTGTACTTAAGAAAAGTGAAAAAAGGTTGTCTGATAGAAAGGTATAACTGTGACAATATTCTTATTATGTATCATTAAACTGATATAGATTTTATATACAACCTTTAATGAGCAGGTTCAGGTATCAATCATTCAACTCTCAACACAATCTCCAACAGCAGATATACCTGAAAGGAGTTTCATCGATGTTTGTGTAGAAGTAATCGTTGACGAGGTACAGAGGACGTTTCTGTTGGAGGAGAAGGAAAGTATGATCATGATATAATAAATATAACATAAATATATAGCTGGATCTCCATCTGTCTTTTAGTATTTTATTAATGAAAAAATATTGATAGTAAAGTCATGATGCTAATGTTAGCCTCTGTTAGCTTCTCCATCTGGTGTGATGTAAGTGACATTGTTTAAGTTAATATAAATCAGTGGTGTTTATAAAATAACTGTTTCTAATCATGAAGACCAATCAGGAAGTGTTCTTATTTTTAATAGGAAATAAGCAGAGTCATTAACAAAGCATTACTGCCACCTATTGACCTGGAGGGGAACTGCAGGTGTACTCATATCATTTAAAAAACTCTAAAGTCTAAATGATGTATTAATGAGCAGCGATGGAATTTAACTATTTTACTAATTAAATTCCCAAATATACTGTTTTTGAGTTACGATAGAATCAGAATGAAAATACTTTATTTATCTCAGGGGGAAAATTGTTAACGTGACGGTTACACAATTTAAGAATATAATAAAAAATAAAAGGTAAGGTAAAAATGTAGGATAAAATAAAATAAATATAATAATAATAATAATAATAATAACTCACTCCCCAGCCCATCAGAGACTGCACTGACCTCACCTCCTTCAAAACACTCACGAAAACCCACCTCTTCAATCTGGCTTTCAATGTGTGACTGTTTTTGTATTGCTTGACTTGTATGTGACTTCAACTATATGTATTTGTTGTTCTTTTCTTTTCACTTTCTCTGTAAAGCGACTTTGAGCACCTGCAAAAGCGCTCACAAAATAAATCTATTATTATTAAGATAATAACATTTACATAATGAATTAGTAAAAATCAATCAAAGAAAGAAATGTGCAACAAAAATATAATGTAATAAAAATACATTTTCTAAAAAGATAGAATAAAGTTATTTATACAAACAGGATACGTTAATGCAAAAGTATTTAATAAGAGATAAACTTGAATGAACTGTTTCCTAAAAGCAGTGAATTCTTTCCTCACCCCTTTGTCCACGGAGGCTCTGACGCTCAGCCTCATGCTGCCCGTCTCTCCTCTCACCATGGCCGTCCTCAGCTACCAAACAAGGGGAAACACAAAGTCAGATCAGCCTCTAAAACAGCAAATAAGGGACATTTAATGTACAGATTAAGGGGAGGTGGTAATATTCAGAGAAAAAACTGAAACTTCTGAAATAGATTTTGTGAGTTCACAAGTCGTAAAACTCACTAAAGTACTATTTATGTTTGTTAAGAAACCACTTTTCTTATCTTTGTAAAAAACTATTTATACTTTTTTTATCTCAGAGAATATTTAAAGTGGACCTATCATGCTATATTTGAATAATATAGTGTAGGACCATACCTATATAAGGCATATCTATACTTTTTTTTTTTCAAAATACCAAACAGATCATGCATTTTAGCCATGCCTCATTTTGCTCAATTTGACATTTTTTAGATCTGTTTTGGCAAGGGCAGATTCAGTGAGAACAGCACCACCTACAGGCCTGGCATATGTACTACAGCGTCTCCAGCGCTTTCGAACGGCAATGCCGTGGTTGTCTCCTCCTGATTGGTGGAGTTGGCCCAATAGCCGTAGCGCCACCGTCCTGACGTCAGGACAGTGTTCAAATCTGGATCAGTTTTTATCAGATCCGTTGCAGCCCCTTTTTTAGAGATTTGGGTATGGAGGAAAATAGAGAGGGTTGTGTTTTCTGACACTTGGTGAGTTCCCTGGAACACCGGGGACACATATTCATGTAGAAAAGACGTACAAAAGTGCATTTTGCATGATAGGTCCCCTTTAAGGTTTGCTTTGCAATTTATTTTCGTACTTTACCGTCTGAGTCTCGGAAAAACACCCCATTTCGCCAGAGTGATTTTCTGCAAATGTATATCTGTGAACAATTCCAACATTTTCCTCATAACCTTTTTTTTCCTATGAATTAACCCTTTTTAAATTTATGTTTTTTCACAAGTTTTTTTATTGGAATTAATCTTCTTTTATCTCCAAAAAAATATCCAAGTTTTTTCCTCGTGAATTTGTAATTTCACTTTTTTATCTCATTTTATTTCTCACAAACTATCCCCTTCCCTGAACTCCTGGATATTTATTTTTTCTGGCTTTAATACGCCGTCCAGTTCCTTCCTCTAAAGGCCCGGACACACCAAGCTGACACCAAAGAACTGACACAGACGGACCCCCGACTGTCGCGTCGCCTCACGTCTCCTGCGCCTTGGCCATGTGTCGCACTGGAACACACCGCAAAGACTTCAGCCGACGGCCAAGAAGCACGTACGAACTGCGCATGCGTGAGTGGCAATAACTCTCCTTACCAGCAGGCGGCGGTAGTGTGTATTCGTCATTCAAAAGAGGCAACCGGAAGACAGACTGCGTGATACACCGAGAGAAGAAGAACAGACTGCGTGATATAAACAAACAACAAATAGCGCGTGCGTTCCATTTTCACTCTACAGCGAGAAGCTCATGGGGCTTTCCCGAACCTGTGTCGAGAGCTGGAGTTAAATGAAATCTCAGATTTGCCTTCTTAATAGTTTGTGTGGGTCCCTCACTTCCGTTTCGCTTCTCATGCACTGATTCGCTAAGCTGAACAGCCAATCAGAGTGATTTGTTTTGCCGACTGCCTTTGGCCGACTGCCCACCTATTCGACATGTTGAATCGGCAGGTTTTCGGTCGAAAAGGCGCCGGCACGGCTGAAAAGACACAACGGTGCGGGACACACCAATCTGAGTAGGGCGACAGGACTCTAATCGTCGGCCTGACGCCCACCGACGGCCAAAATCGGCTTGGTGTCTCCGTGCCTTTAGAGTAAAACATGACTATCTGAAGGGTTTCATTTTGTGTGGCTTTAATACGCCGTCCAGTTCCTTCCTCTTAGAGTAAAACATGACTATCTGAAGGGTTTCATTCCAACACGCTTATATCTCAGAAAACATCATCATATATTTGTATTGTGATGGTGTTCACCGTCTCCTCTGTGTCCTCCCACTCCACCTCGGACATGTCCACACTGTTGTAGTTGGGCTTCGGCTTCAGCTTCTTCCCGTCTTTATACTGCGAGACAGAGACATGCTTTATTACCATCTTTAGGAACACTATAAACTGAAATAACCATTCAGAAAATCAGCTTAAAGAACATGTCTTTCTTAAATCAGAGATCATGTTTAACTCACCAGAGGTCGGAGGTCAGGGTGAGCCAGGATGTAGCCGTTGTTGGTGATGAGGAAGGCGTAGCCGTGAGGACCCAGCTGAGGAAGAGGAGGAGGAAGAGGAAGGATATAAGGATGCTCAGTAAATGTTAATATCCTTGACCTTTATTGTGAAAGGGTAGGAAGCTAAATGAATGGTGCGAGCTTTTATTGTGAAATGAAAGGATGCTTTAGTATTGTTTTTAAGGTCAAACAAGTACTTTTTTAAGCTTTTTTATGAAATGTAAGTAAGCAGTACGTTTTATTGTGAAATGGAAAAAGTTAAAGGAATGTTTTAAGCTTTTATTGTGAAATAGAAGAACGTTAAAGACATGTTTTAAGCTTTTATTGTGAAATGGACGGTTTCTTAAGGAATGCTTTATTGTGAAATGGACGTAACAAAAGGCATGTTTTCAGCTTTTATTTTGAAATAGAGGTGATTCTGCAGGCTTTTATTGTGAAAAGTGATCCCTAGGTGTGGATAACAACAGGAAGTGATCTCACCATGTATCTGGGGGCGAGCTTCATCACCTCCATCAGAGGGATGTCTGTGCCGACCACGCCCAGCAGGATGCCGTGAGACAGCTGCACACACAACAACACACTCTTTATTTACTGTGATATCAAATGTGTGTTATATAAACCTGAATACTGAATGTCCTCTTCCAACATGAGAGTAACATGATAACAAAGGTATCCCAACTGTAGCTGTGTGCATGACAGGATGTATGATTACCTAGAAGAGCATCAGGACTGTTTGAGGCATATGATAGCTATGTGATTAACATGATGATTCAGCCTCTATGGAGATAGACATATGACAAGCATGATCATTTCTGACGTGGAGCTAGAAAAAGTCAGAATTTTGAGGAAAAAGTCAGAATTTGAGATTTTGAGAAAAAGTCAGAATTTTGAGAAAAAAGTCAGCATTTTGAGAAAAAGTCAGATTTTTGAGAAAAAGTCAGATATTTGAGAAAAAGTCAGATTTTTGAGAAAAAGTCAGATATTTGAGAAAAAGTCAGATTTTTTCGATTTTTTACAAATTCTCTTTTTTTGTTTTGACTTCCATTCTTGTGAGGATAATAAATACATGTATCCTGATATTGAAGCTCAAGCCGGTGACGAGTTTTCTAACAAAACCCAAAAGGTCCCAAACAAACATTAATGTACACACTACTGTTCACGCTTCATACAGTATTATATTTGTCTATTTATAATATAATACAATTATTTATAATATGATATCATTGTTTATATATAATTTGTAAGTCAATAATATTTTTGTTTATCAATTTGATACTGCTTAAGTTTGTACAGTATCATAATTCTCTTGTTTCATTCCATTATTAATATTTTTTGTATTATTGTTTTACACGTTCGAAATAAATCAAATCAAACAAAAATATATTTTTTATCTTGAAAACACATTTTTTTTCCAAATATTCCACAAATGAATAGTCTTGTTTTGCACCCGTTCTGATGTTTGTTTCTGTTAAATGAGTTCATAATGACTACATCCTTTAGGGGACACTTCTGGATAGAGTCTGGAAGCCTCTAGCCTTTCTCTTTTACCTTGAATGTGCAGTTTTTCAAAGTTTAATTTATCATTATCAGAAGGATAAAAAAGAGTTTCCACGGACCGTTTCCTTCTTCTTGCTGAAGACGGGCATGGCCACAGACGTCATCATCAGCAGACTCTGAGCTTTAGTGGTGAACAGCTGAGAGACAAAACAACACAGTGAATAAACAAAACAATAAAACACATAAATAATGACATTTAAATGGTGGTAGCAGTGGAAAGAACTGATGCCATTTTCAACAGATGTTAAAAGTCTCTATTTTTCTTTGAATATTCATCATTTTTTAATGTGATCTTTGTAAAACATTATTTTTTCTAATGTTAACTTATTTATAATATCTTGCTTTCCGTCTCCTCCTCTTGTTGTCTCTTTGCTGCTGCACATTGCCCCAGATTGGGACCAGCTAAGAGTTCTCTTTTTGAAATATGATGTTGTGTTTATCGTGACAGTCTGTGCAGCTTTAAAGAGTGCAGCTCTAAGGTCGAACTCCAGGGGGCGATGTAGGAATACTGCAGTTCTGTGTACATTAAAAACACCCTTATGGTAAAAGTACTACAACAAAAGTGTAGAGAGGATTATTTGTCTGTATTTACCTCTGTCTTTGTGTCAACGTCTGAATTTACACTAACAATAAGGAGAGGACTCTTTAAAGTAGAGACACTACATACTATGTAGTGTCTCTACTTTAAAGAGAACTCTCCTGCTGATGTTCAGGTGTATATCAGTATGTAGTGTCTCTACTTTAAAGAGTCCTCTCCTGCTGATGTTCAGGTGTATATCAGTATGCAGTGTCTCTACTTTAAAGAGTCCTCTCCTGCTGATGTTCAGGTGTATATCAGTTTGTAGTGTCTCTACTTTAAAGAGTCCTCTCCTGCTGATGTTCAGGTGTATATCAGTATGTAGTGTCTCTACTTTAAAGAGTCCTCTCCTGCTGATGTTCAGGTGTATATCAGTATGTAGTGTCTCTACTTTAAAGAGTCCTCTCCTGCTGATGTTCAGGTGTATATCAGTATGTAGTGTCTCTACTTTAAAGAGTCCTCTCCTGCTGATGTTCAGGTGTATATCAGTATGTAGTGTCTCTACTTTAAAGAGTCCTCTCCTGCTGATGTTCAGGTGTATATCAGTATGTAGTGTCTCTACTGGGACATGTCTCCATGCTTTAATGTTCAAAAAGCTCTTTATTTTTCTCATACTGCCTGTGCTGCAGCACCTCTTTTCACCCTCTGTCTAAAACCAGAGCCCAGTCTGCTCTGATTGGTTCACTGGCCGGCTCTGTTGTGATTGGTTAAAACCGTCCTGTTCTACATGTTGAATCTAAAACTACAACTTCTTCTTCTACGTCTTTTTTTACCTCCATGGTGTTGGGAAGCTGCCGGAGAGATGGAGGCCAAGAGGATCATGGGAAATTGATCGGAAACACAGGGAGGAAGCAGACAGATGAAGATGAAGTGACGATGATGATGATGATGATGATGAATGTACAGTATGTGGAGATAAAGGCATGGATGGATTATGGGACAGAAGGCCCTACATTTTTTCTCTTTGCAGTCTTTTTGTAGTCCTTTCTTATTTGTTCTGCTATTTTTGTAGTCCTTTCTTCCTTTTCTAGTCTTTTTGTTGTCCTTTCTTCCTTTTCTAGTCTTTTTGTAGTCCTTTTTTCCTTTTCTAGTCTTTTTGTAGTCCTTTCTTCCTTTTCTAGTCTTTTTGTAGTCCTTTATTCCTTTTCTAGTCTTTTTGTTGTCCTTTTTTCCTTTTCTAGTCTTTTTGTAGTCCTATTTTCCTTTTCTAGTCTTTTTGTAGTCCTATTTTCCTTTTCTAGTCTTTTTGTAGTCCTATTTTCCTTTTCTAGTCTTTTTGTAGTCCTTTCTTCCTTTTCTAGTCTTTTTGTAGTCCTTTATTCCTTTTCTAGTCTTTTTGTTGTCCTTTTTTCCTTTTCTAGTCTTTTTGTAGTCCTTTCTTCCTTTTCTAGTCTTTTTGTTGTCCTATTTTCCTTTTCTAGTCTTTTTGTTGTCCTTTTTTCCTTTACTAGTCTTTTTGTTGTCCTTTCTTCCTTTTCTAGTCTTTTTGTAGTCCTATTTTCCTTTTCTAGTCTTTTTGTTGTCCTTTCTTCCTTTTCTAGTCTTTTTGTAGTCCTATTTTCCTTTTCTAGTCTTTTTGTTGTCCTTTCTTCCTTTTCTAGTCTTTTTGTTGTCCTATTTTCCTTTTCTAGTCTTTTTGTTGTCCTTTTTCCTTTACTAGTCTTTTTGTTGTCCTTTTTTCCTTTTCTAGTCTTTTTGTTGTCCTTTCTTCCTTTTCTAGTCTTTTTGTTGTCCTTTCTTCCTTTTCTAGTCTTTTGTTGTCCTATTTTCCTTTTCTAGTCTTTTTGTTGTCCTTTTTTTCCTTTTTCTAGTCTTTTTGTTGTCCTTTTTTTCCTTTCTAGTCTTTTTGTTGTCCTATTTTCCTTTTTCTAGTCTTTTTGTTGTCCTTTTTCCCTTTACTAGCTTTTGTTGTCCTTTCTTCCTTTTCTAGTCTTTTTGTTGTCCTATTTTCCTTTTCTAGTCTTTTTGCAGTCCTTTTTTCCTTTTCTAGTCTTTTTGTTGTCCTTTCTTCCTTTTCTAGTCTTTTTGTTGTCCTATTTCCTTTTATAGTCTTTTTGTTGTCCTTTACTAGTCTTTTTGTTGTCCTTTTTTCCTTTTCTAGTCTTTTTGTTGTCCTTTCTTCCTTTTCTAGTCTTTTTGTTGTCCTTTCTTCCTTTTCTAGTCTTTTTGTTGTCCTATTTTCCTTTTCTAGTCTTTTTGTTGTCCTTTTTTCCTTTTCTAGTCTTTTTGTTGTCCTTTCTTCCTTTTCTAGTCTTTTTGTTGTCCTATTTTCCTTTTCTAGTCTTTTTGTTGTCCTTTTTCCTTTACTAGTCTTTTTGTTGTCCTTTCTTCCTTTTCTAGTCTTTTTGTTGTCCTATTTTCCTTTTCTAGTCTTTTTGCAGTCCTTTTTTCCTTTTCTAGTCTTTTTGTTGTCCTTTTTTCCTTTTCTAGTCTTTTTGTAGTCCTATTTTCTTTATTGAAGTATTTTTGTTGTCATTTTTCTCGTTTTGACAGCCTTGTTTGTAGTCTTTGTCGTCTTCTTTTGGTGTCTTTTGAAAAATGCTGTGGTATTTAGTTTCTTTGCTGACTTTTAAAATGTCTTTGTAGTCTTTTTGTGTTCATATTGCATCCGGCTGTATTTTATTTTTATATTTGATCGTTGTTTTTTGTGTCTTTGTTTCCCAGTCTTTTTGTTGCTTTTCTGTTTACATATACATCTTCGCATATATTAATCTTGGTAGTCTGTTTGGGTCTTTTTTTCAGCTGTTTTTTGGCCATTTTGTCTGTTTTAGAAGTTGTTTGCGTCTCTTTTGCCTTTCTAACCCTAACCCTTGCCTTTTTGTTTCATGAGCATTTGTGCCTGTGCCTCATCCAGAAATCCATCCATGCTAAACGGAGTAGTACAGCCAAAATGAAAATGCAGAAATGATTTTAAGATGCTTAAATCATGAATCAGATGTTTGAAATAACGACAGGCTGCTCGGAGCTCTCTGATTGGCCGGCTGCTCTCACCACAGAGTCCATGTAGGCCTCGGTCCAGATGATGTCATGGTCGTGGTTGATGACCATTGGTCGGCTGAGGACGTGCAGATACTCCATCACGTTCTCCTGCACGTCCGCCAGCGTGGAGATGTGTGTGTAGTAACCTGAGACACACACACACACACACACACACACAAGTAAATTAGAAGAAAGAAAATTATAATAATAATAATAAGATATTGGATTTTTATAGCGCTTTTCCTAGTGCTCAAAGACGATTAGTATTATTATACTTCATTTACTTTTACTTACCTTTTGGTAAACATTTGTATTGAGCATTGTTGAACTGAGCGTGACATCATATCATTGCACTGCCTCTCTGTAATGATTGCATATATAAAAGTAAATAACGTTAAACTGTGATCAGACCTTTGTTGTTGCAGGCGATCCACTTTGTGTTCTGAGCGAAGGTCATCTCTCTGCCGATCAGGTAGGTGAACACTCGCACCTGGACACAATAATAACGTGTTGTTGTTTCTTATCATGGGAAGTGCTGTTGTCCTGATTCAGTCAACATGTGTGTGTGTGTGCGTGTGTGTGTGTGTGTGTGTGTGTTCTCCTGGTTTAACAAAAACAGACACAACTACAGAGACAAACTCTCCCTCTCGTTGGACACCCTGCAACCAAATGCATCTTTAAGCATGTATCTGCAAAAGTTTCACAAAAATGACGACAAATATTTAACAGAGAAAACCAGAAAACAAGCAAACCTTATGCTGGGGCTGTAATTATGTTCAATGAGAAGTAAAGGGCTCTAAAATAAGATTTAGGCCCTGCAGTCAATTAAAGAGCATTATTACAGAATCTACGGAAATTGCAGTTTGTGGTAACATTATGTGAAGCTTAATTCAGAAGGAGGTCAATTAAGAAGATCCTTGATGACAAAATGTTAGAAGTGACACCACAATACATATTTTATTTGTATGTAATGTTGATCCTAAGAATGTCTAATGTCCCTCACATCTACATGTTATGATATTGTGTTGTTCTAAGTAGTTTGCATGTAGTCTTTTTTGTATCCCCTTGTAGTCTTTTTGTATCCCCTTGTAGTCTTTTTGTATCCCCTTGTAGTCTTTTTGTAATGTTATAATGATATAACACTACGATATGATATTGTGTTGTTCTAAGTAGTATTCATGTTGTTGTTGTTGCTAGTTTTCACCACAGGGTTGCGCCTGTGAGTAAACACGAGAAGAAGCAGTAGAATTTCGTCTTAATGTACATTATTTAATTTCATACTCTGTTCTTTTTGTACATATCATATTCTATTTACATGTATATAGACTTCCT